TGTTAGATCCTCACTGAGCCGAGCAGGAAGTTCAAGACCGAGCAGTGGAAGCGGCAAGGACAGGTGCGAGAATCGTTAGTAAAAGGCTACGGATTCGGTGCAGCACTTAGAGATAGGCTAAGAGCACGTCGTCAACCCCAAGATGCTCGCAGGACACAACTAGATGCAATGATGAGCAAAGGTCGGCCACCAGAGTTGCAGGAGGCACAATGCATGCAACGTTTGATCGTCATTGTCTTACATTTGCGAACCGGCTGGTACTGGTCTAAAAGGGCAACAATGACGAGAGGCAGAAGGGATGCGTTGGAATGGTCTATGTGCTAATGTGCACTGTCCCTGACCATCTCTCGTTCCACCAGGCCTTCTCTGTGCTGGAAGTTTTGCCTTTCCTGCGACAGGATGACAGGCGTCTTGCCTGAAGCGGGAGCTTTCAGTTTGTGAATCCACAAGAACTACTGTCACAATTTAATTGAGTATATAGTTATTGAGTATTGAGAGATGCTTTGCATACAGCCAGCAGGAGCAGAATCCAATGTGTGAGCGTTTAAGTTAAAATGAGCTGAATAGACTATATATATATATATTAAAAACAACAAACCGCAAGGACTGAAAGATGATTGTAGCTGGACTCCAAGGAAGGATGCGCAGCTCAAGCTGAACGAATTGCACGAGCTCTTGAACAAGCAGGCCAGCTAGGACATATATTATATATACGTGCTTCTACGTAGCTTTCAGGCACAATGTAAGGGGGGTTAGCATAAGGCTGATTCAGCCCGGATGAGTTTGTTTATCTCGAATATAGAGGCCTGTGTTCAGGACTGGGTGGACTGGGGGGTTTGCAAGTTGAAGCGGTAGCATTGCACTACCTTCGAACTTCCCACCACGAATGGTCCAGGGGTGTTGAGAGGCATAGGTATCAAAAAAAATAAAAAGAGCATCAAAAAAAATAAAAACAGGATCAAAAAAAAATAAAAACAGGATCAAAAAATAAATATTCCTTGATAGGCCTCTTCTGCTGCTCTCCTGGCCTTGTGGTCTGCGCGTCCTCTGGTAATGTGGTCCCTTGGTCCTTTGGTCCTTCTCTTCCGCTGGTCCTTTGGTCCCCTGGTCCCTTGGTCCTTCAGTCCACTGGTCCCCTAGTCCTCCGGTCTCCTGGTCCTCTGGTCCTGTGCTGCTGCTGCTACTGCTACTGCTACGCTGGTGCTGCTGCTGCTGCTACTGCTACTGCTACTGCTACTACTACTACTACTACTACCACCACCCCAACCATCCTCAGTGGGCTAGAATATGTTTTTTTGATTCCCGTTTTATTTTTTTATTGATCCCCGTTGAATATTTTTTTTGTATCTTTTTTTAAAATTATTTTTTTGATCCCTTACCCGTGTGGAGAGGCCATCGGTCGCCTTGTTTTCCTTACACTTGGACCAACCTTTCACAGAATTAGGCCACCCCAGAAGAGGATCAACAAGGACCGTTAACAAAATGATATACAATGTGAGACGCCAGCCTACATATGATCACAGGTATGTAATTATATAATATATATATATATTATTGTTTTACAGTACCATGTCTTACCCAATTCACCGCATGCCCTAAGTTTTTGAGACTCGGGATTGCTAGTGTTTGTCAGCTGTTTGCATTGAAAGCTGAACGGCGTGTGATACCGCAACTCACCTCCACAAGGAGAAGAACCCTGTCAAATGGGTGATCCGAGCCGAGATGGAGGCATGGCCGGCACAACAGCCGGACAGTCCGAGCACGATGAGACATTTTGCCCTGCACCGATTGGAACACACATATAATACTATGGTTTAATTTGGTGTTTCATGGCCCCCTCAGAATCTTGACAGAAAGTGTATTGGAACATGATTCTTGTAGCAATTGCACCGATCAGCATTAAAATATCTCAAAATGCAAACAAGCACAACCCAAATGCAATTACGACATGTGAATTCGCATTGAGTGATCGTTTTATCCTAATATATCTCTGTCCGTTTTTCAGGATTGTTTCGACGTGCAATTAAGGTGCAAGGAGTTGATGCAAGCTAAAAGAAACACTGCCCCAGTCCCAATGCTTCTTTTCACGATTGAAGTGAAGTTTCTTTGTGCTTTTGGCATGTTTTGACTCCATTGGTCCAATACTGTTCTACGATGTGGAGTGGCAAATCCCAGTCCCACCAAGTGTGACAGGACAACATTGTCAAATACTTCAACATCCAATGGCAAGTCCAAATGAAGCTTTGGATGCTTGCCTGCTGACCGTCTCATAGTCATACATGCCTTTCTAAATCGATGTTGTGCTCATGGCTTTGTGCTTTTGCCTGGGTGAGCTTGGCAACTGAGGGAGTACTGGTTCAACAACCAAAAGTACCGGAAGGACAGGTTTATGTGCTTGAAGCCTGCCTCGGTTATGTACGTTCTTGAAAAGGTCGGGACACCTCAGTGCTCAAGCATGTCAACCATTTGATCATTTGATACCACTTGAAGTTGAACTTATGGATGGATTGACAGACAATTGGGTATATACATTGCAGCACTGGGTCTGGCAGTGAACAAGCTTCTACCTGAGGTGGTTGTGTGGGCTTCAGTGCTGCTGACGCAATTTGACAGCCTCTATTTGTTGGGAGCTCCAACTCTGCTTTAGGTCTCACAGACGCTTGCTGACTTCTCTAGGGTCATGATCATCCATTTGCATCCTTTTGACTCACTGACTGTACCACTAGATGATGCCTGCATATGCCTGCAAGAACTTGGCAAGGCATTTCTTCGGCTGTGTTCCTTGTCCGACCATATGCAACATGCATTTCCAATAAGGCCGCAATCCTTCGTGCAAGTTGGGCTCTTACTTGTAGCCGAGGTGATAGGCCTGCTCAAAACTCACAACACATAATTAGTGGCTAGGGTCTTGAGCATCCATATGCCCACAAGACATCGTAAGTCTGTGTCGCTTCACACGCCACAGAAGAGCCATTTTGTTTGCTTCTGACATGTCCACCTCAAGGCGCATCTTACCAGTGCGGGTCATTTGGCTCGCCAAGCAGCAGAGGCGCCGAAGGAGGCACACAGATCGGCAGACGTTCACTCTTCACTGTCACTGCCAGACTCGCAAAACTGAAGCTCACTTTTGTGGAGCAAGTATGAAACAAGAAAGAAATACATGTGATTGTGGACATGCGGACATGCGTATCAGAGCATTTTCTCATTTTCTGCAGCACACGGAACAAGCTGGTGGCATACGAGGGGCATATGTCGAAAGACAGGAAAGACCGAGTTTGACATTATATCATAAAGTTGACCAGCGACTAGGACGAGTTTAATTCCTGTGGTTGTTGGTTGGTTATGTCGACTGCTTATTTTAGAGCTGCATGAATCATGAAGCTGCCCAGTTTCTCCAGAGTCGTCCGTGTCGGGTGACAGTTGATCAAAAAAAAATGCTTGGGATGTTTTGACAACGAGAAATGAAATTCAAATTGTTAGTCAAGCAAACTCCATGATTTGTCCTTGTCGCGTGGTTTCCTTCAGTTTGATGTATTGATTCGTACTGCATTCGCATGTGTATATATTGGCACAGTGCACGTTTTTGCACGCATCCCATGACTGTTTTGCACAGTATGTCCGCCAAATCAGAACCATGTCTCCATTGCAAATTGTCGAGCATACAGAAGGCTTACCAGAACAGGTGTAAGGAAACCCTTTCCTGGCAGCAATCCCAACACTCTCAGTAGGTTCCGCCGACCCCACATGTGTGCCTACACAATAGAATGCAACATCTTGGTGCTAGATTTAAGGCACACTCCATGAATTCCACAGCAATCGCAATCAACATCAACGAAGGTTAGTTTGTCCATGTTCGTCCCAAACCTGCTGCCATTTGCACCAGAAGGCATAATCATTGTGTTTGGCGAGAACATCCCATTAAGCACGATGCATTCTCACACAACGGGCGTCTTTTCCACAAAGAGCACGGAAAACGATATGTTATACTCTCTTCGTAGGTCTTTCCGTAGCACGACCTACGTCCAGGTCCAACACCGTGACATGTTCCAAATGTTTTTACATGCTGATCTTGCTTTGTTTGCCACAATTTGTCGAAGCTCGCTCGAACACCTGGCGTAAATGTTGCAGTACAGATACAGGAGGCGGACAAGTGGAAAGCAGACGCACGGAGAGCCTTGAAGGATGTTGTGGCTTTGCTGAACGGGGTGTCCTTGGTTGCTGATTTTTGGTTGTGGCACCTGCAAGTGCGCACATTTTCTTGGATAAATTATTTGCTCAAGCATTAGTCTGCTCCATTGTCCAAAGGTGACTAGCACCCTTTGGCAGTCCCTGAGGTCCATTTCCTGAAGAGCTTGATCTTTTGGGATCTGGATTTCTTCCAGTGGCTTAAGAAGACCGAGGTGCGCATCCCTGATCCAACAACACCGTCACTAAGTCTTAGCTAAGCCGTGCATAAGTGGAAAGCAAAAGGTTCATCATGTCCAGAGTTTGTCTCGCATATCCATCGACGCTTAGGCTCATCAGGGGGAAGTGCTGGCAAGGATCACGAGCCTTCTTGCGGCCACCATGGTGAATGATGAGCAGGTGAGGTGATTGCCAGAAACGCTGCTTACCTAAATGCTACAAGTATGCTAATTTATATATATATAGAACTTGCAAGCGTGAGCTTCCATGGCACTCTAAGAGACTAAGATGTGCTGTCTTAAGGGATTGCCTGTGCTTGTGCCAACCCCTATAGCTGCAGTGTTTGGTTCAAGCTGTCTTGCCATGTACAGGGCCTTGCCACAACTCACCTATGTTCTCAGTAATGTAATGCTCCAATACATTGTGGCCACAATGCAAAACCGCACATGCTCCAAAAATTAATGGAACATGGACCGGTATTGTTAAGAACCAGCTCGTGCCCACTTGCATTGACCGGGGCCGACATGTGTTGACTCAAGCACTGGTAGCTGAATGCAGGGCACCAGGACCTTGCCAGCATATCACCATGACGTTCCATGCGGGGCGATGGGCCCCGCTTTGGTGCTGGGCGTTTCTGGGGCGACTTGGAGGGGGACCTGCAGCCGCGGCCTGCCCAGGCGATCACTTGAGTTCTGACAGGAAACAAGGTAAGGTTTGTGCTTGACCCTAGGTTCATTCAAGATGGAACCTTTGGATTTTGCATGATATAGATTCAACTCACTGGGTCAGACATAAAACTATAATAGCAATACAGTTGAATCCAACAATATAATATAATATTCGTATCGCCTGTACAAACATCAATCATGTGAATTGATGGAAGGCACTTGGTCGCGGATATGAAGATGAGAGTGGAGATCCTTTCACGGACCTCAACGCAGAAGAGTATGAGCGTCAAGTGTTGGCATACATAACTGAAGGCTTGTTGGTCTTTTCAAGACCGTTCAAACATTGTTCTCAGGGCTTTTTCGAACATCTCATGCTGGTACGGTACTCGTAGGTAAGTTCGCATATAACTACTGCGTAGTTAGCCACGACAGCCACGTTGCTATTTAACGAGATCCACATGGATTATTCGGCCATTCAGTGCAATCAAAGACCTTAAATTTAATAGAAATTGGATTGCAACTAGATTGTAATTAAAGTAACTTGTAATTATTTCGTTACTATTTAGGTCATAAAACAATATACTACTTAAATGCATTTAGTTCAATGCAATTAATTCGACATGGAGGGAGCTTCCTTGAAGAACCCGAGCAGAAAGTAGCGACATCTCTGCGAGCTTCTCCTCTTACCAACCAGTTGAAGTTCTTAGTTCAACCTTAAAGATATTACAATATTTTAAGTAGCAGTCACTTGGTTTGAGTTTGTTCTTGTCAATAAAGGAATCACAAGAATATTCAACTAGAAGATTTATCTCTTCGCTCGAGCAGTTGCACTTGTGGCTAGTGGGGGAGAGGGATCATTGGCCAGCGTGCCAATGAATTGCACCTGCAGCAAATCGCCGCAGGACAGAACGCGACTCGTGGCTTCATAGAAATCAAATTGTCCACATGATGTCGTTATCTCTGACGAATGTCACCATCCCTCCCCTTTGGGGGATCGATCCTTGCAATATTTGGGTAAATCAGGGATTTCATCAAGGGCTCACAGCCAAAGGATTTGAAATCTGGTCGACCGGAGAACTTTGGAGAAGGAAAAGTTTCAATCCACACATTCTTATGCAGACTTTTAGCACAAACTGAACAACGTGTTGATTTCCTTCGGTGTCCTTGAAAGGAAGAACATGAAAAGGTTCAAACTGTTTAAGCAAAACAGGGTCACCTTCAAAAAGGTGTAAACTTTATTGTAGGAGGTGGTGCTTTTGAAGGCTTATACTTTGATTATCAATAAAGCGTAGACATTAGTGTCGGGGTGATGCTTTTGAAGACTTCTGAGATTCAAATGCAATGTTGGTAGGGGTTGATACTCCAGAAGCACCAAATCGAGAAGTGTACCAAGAGCATTAGAGTTTCAGGTGCACGAAATTGAGAAGTGTACCAAGAGAAACCTAGGGGGCATGCAAGCCCTTTTTTGTTCGAGCGCGGTCAAAAGGACCGCATCCTTTGCGGGTTATGAGCCCAACGCGATAGGCCGGGTAGGAAGGCCACCCAGGGACGGGTCGCGAGGACCCACTGGTCGCTGGCTCCCATGTCGGCGCGAGCGTCGGCGCGGGCGGCTGGTGGCGCGGCTGGCGGCTCGGCGGCGGGCACGCCGGAGGAAGGCTCAATGGAGAGCGCCAAGGAGGACGAGGTCCTCGCTTTGGAGGACGCCCAGGACGCTTTGGTCCCGGTGACGGCCATGGTCCTGGCCCAAGGTCCTCCTACCACCTATGGCCCTCAGCGACGAGGAGAAGCTTCGGGTAAAGGAAAGGGTGAGGGGGCAAAGATGGTGCCCGTGAACCCGTTCTGGAGCGAGCGGATGCAGGCTGAAGCTCGGCTGAGGGCTATGAGGCCGGCGGCCCTACCTGAGGGAGAAGCTGACGGGCCCCAACCTTCAGGACGGGTGGAGCCTGCGGATGAGGAGCGGGGGGTTTCAATGGACGTCAAGGAACTCCTGAAGGCGGTCATGGCGCAGAACGCAGCCTTGAAGAAGGAGGTTGGGGAGCTGCGCAAGGAGATCAAGGAGTCCAAGAGTGTCAAAGAGTTGAAGGGAAAGGTGAGGGTTGAGGCCATTGAGGATGCACCCAAACCCCCAATGTCGACACCACCACCATCACCTCCGAAGGATCCACCTCCACATACTCCCGTGAAGGGAAGGATGGATGATTCGGATCAGGCATGGGCCGGTTTGAGGATTGTGGAGTTCCCCAAGTCGTTGGAGGGTGACACTATGGGGAGAGGTACCGCTCCAAGAGGTTCGGGAGTACCTGAAGTGCCTGGATCCTGGGGAGCTGGAGGGTGGGGACTTCAAGGTGGTCATCAACGAGGACCAGATCAAGAGGGCCGAGGCGACGGTGAAGGGAGCAGGGAGTTGATCCGTGGCTCACCACTCGAGCAGGCTGCCCAGTCGGTGTTTAGGCAGTTGGGAACGAGTTCACCCGAAGGACAGTGGGCCGAGGCGATTCGGTCGGTAGAGCTACCACCCCTCCAAGATCTTCGAGAAGGTGATTTGGGGTCGCTCATCCTGGGAGATTGGATCCAACTGGTGACCCCGACCATGAAGGATCTGAGCGCAACGAGCTGGAAATGGTGGGAGGGGGTGTTGAACTTCGCCATGATGGCGTACCGTGAGTGGCTTCAGGCAGAACCTGTTCAGCGGCTCTACATTCGACCGAGGGTCCCAACGGAATGCTCGGGAGTCTGGAGTCGACTGGAACAGACTGGCCAGCAGAACGACCAGCTCGGTGGAAGTGCTCTACGCGCTGTTCAGGCGCTACCAACCTGGGGGTCTTGCCGAGAGATCTCGACTTCTCCGACAACTGGTGGAACCGAAGACCCCCCAGACTATGAACGAGGTGGTTGAAGCGCTCAGGGGATGGAGGCGGAGCTTGAGACGCGCCCAGGAGCTGGAGATTGCCACCCCGGACGCCACCCTCCTCCTGGGAGCTCTTGATCGAATGTCAGAGTTGGTGGGGAGGACATCAAGTCAGGTGGCCTTTCGAATGTCGTCTACAAGAGCGGCCCTAGGGGTGGACGTGACGCCATCGCTCGAGACGGTGCTGAACTTCTCGGACATGCTCACTGCGGAGGCCGAGTCTCTGGCCATCAGCGAGCTGCAGCCCGTGGCGGAGGTTAAGACGGCACCCCCGGTGACCAAGGTCAAGGCCATGGCGGCAGTGATCGAGGAGAAGGGGGACAAGGGCGCCGGGAAGTCCAAGGTCGATGGAAAGGTGGAGGAGAAGACCTGTCGCTTTTGGGGCTGCCGGAAAGGACAGGATTGCCGCTTCAAGCACGACTGGACCAACCTGGAGAAGAAGGGGCGCTGCTTCGGGTGCTCGTCAACCAAGCACTCCAAGAGGGATTGCCCGGCCGTCAAGATGAAGATCGACGGGGAGAAGCAGGTGAAGACCTTCAAGAAAGAGGCGGAGAAGGGTGGTGGAGTCAAGAAGAATGAGCGGGAGCCAGCGGTGGAGAGCCAGGCATCTTCAGTCGAGGAGACGGTGGATGAGAAGCGGGTGGAAAAACCGGCAGCTAGCTCTAGGGAAGTTCAAGCCCTACTGTCGGAGGCGACTACTCTCTTGAAGAGCTTGAGACCAGCCAGTGATGGGAGAGCTTCGCTGAAGGCGGTCAAGCTGAGCAGTCTGGAGGTGAGGACTACGGATCGTGCCCTCCTCGACGGAGGAGCGACTCACTGTCTCAGAAGGGCAGAGTCGGAGGAGGAATGGCTGAGGGCTCAAGAGGTTCGAGTAGAACTGGCAGAAGGATCTGTGATGCTGAGGCAGATTCCGTGGACGAAGACCCTCCTCACGCAGAACGACGTCCAGACTGTGCCGCTGGGGGTGCTGATCTCGTTAGGCTATGAGGCCTACTGGGAGAAGGAGAGATTCACGCTGACGGACTCGAGCGGAGCTCTCCTGGATGTCACGATTGAAGGCATGTGCCCAACTGTGGGAGAGGGCTTGGGAAGAGAGCTCATTGCGGAGATCGAGAGAAGCATGGTCCGGGAACGAGCCAGGTTGGCAGTGTTGAACGGGGAGGAGAACCAGAACGAGCTGGAGCTGGGGGAGATTCACCATCTCAAGGAGCTCCGAGAGCTGTTCCCTGAGGTTCCTCTTCGGCTGCTGGTGAGGATCTTGCCGAAGGTGGGATGGAAAGGGGAGTCAATCCCCTGGAACCGACATGAACGAAGGAGAGTCCGGAAGGCTCGAGAAGTGGTGGTTCACCTCTTCAGCGGGGACACCAAGAAGTACTGGCAGAGGGAGCTCGAGTCAGAGGGCAGGGCAGTCCTGTGTGTGGACACGGTCATAACATCCTCCGGGACGACGTCTTTGCGCGGATGCCTCCTGGACTTGTGGTGTGGGTACACCGTCTTCAAGACGATCTGAGGGCTTGAGTCTCCCCCCCCGAAGAGGGGGGAATTTTTGAATGTCTTTCAAGAAAGGTTTGGTGCTCCCTCAAAAGTCACCACACGTAGCGAGGGGGAGTCCAGAAGCACCAAATCGAGAAGTGTACCAAGAGCATTAGAGTTTCAGGTGCACGAAATTGAGAAGTGTACCAAGAGAAACCTAGGGGGCACGCAAGCCCTTTTTTGTTCGAGCGCGGTCAAAAGGACCGCATCCTTTGCGGATACGACTAGAGATTTCTGGCATATGAGCAAAGAGCAAGGCATTCTTGCAGAGGATGATGCCATTGAATCTTTTCACGAAAGGTAGCCCTTTAGGGGATACCTTGAATTTGTCTTGCGAAGCAAGTGTTGGGACGTCCGGGTCTAATAATTGATCGCTCAATTCAGACCCCCT